GTATATATATATATATGTGTATATATATATATATGTGTATATATGTATGTATATATATGTATATATGTGTATATATGTATATGTATATATGTATGTATATGTATATATATAGTGAGTAATTTATCAGGTATGAGATTTTCAGCATGCATCAAGGCAGTTTACTTAAAGGCAAAAATTGCACAATTATATCAATTTGTACATTCTTGTAAGTTTGTCATGGAAGTTAAAAATTACAAAATTATTATAGTGGTAAAATTAAACCATAAAAAATCTATATTTACTGTAATTTGTACCATTTTAAACTTGTGTGAAGGCTTATCTCTTTCATAGGGATGAAGATTCCTGTTAATCTAACACTGAAATCAACTTTCATTTGAACCATTTTTAAACCTTTTTTAAAGATTGGTGAATCGTATTTTCCTATGAATACCAAACCAATTCAATGGATTGTATTCACTGTTCCAGTTACACTGGCACATCACACCCAGAATGTTCCATTCCTGGTGCCCTGCATTTCCCACATTAGACCCTGAATCACTGCCAACAGTATTTTTCATCTGCTAATGTATTTCAGTTCTCTTGCAGGGAAACAGTTCCTGGTTAAAAACAGCTTCCTTTTGTTTTTTGCGGATCACACACCACCTTACACAGTTTCGAAGTTGATATGTCACTAAAAGGGTTTTTATGCAACCAAACAGTAAACATTTTTCTCACTTATAACGTTACAGATCAGACCAGGTTAACTTCATAAGAAAAAGTTTTTAAAAATCTCCTTATTTCCCTTGTCGCTGAAAAACTTGGACCCAATAAAAGTCACTTGATAGGCTGGATACCAGAAATATTTCCAAATAAATATTTAAGGAACTTCTTAACGTGCAGGTGACAGTACACTGCTTTTCAGTTAAGGTTACACTTAAGGATTTCTGTCAGAGGACAATTACTTGACTTGATCACTGAACCTTGACATCAGGGAATACTGTAGAAATTTTCGGTCTTAATATTGAAAGAGAAATCAAGATGGCCTCCTGTTAAAGAAAAAAAAAATACATCATTTACTTGCATATTTTCCTATATTTTATGAAGCCACAAAAGGAAAGCCAAGCAATATAACGGGAGGAAAATATCTTTCTTCCTTCTGTACATTACCTCAGTGCGAATAGTCCTGCTTCCCTGGTTAGGGCAAGTGTTGAGGTAATGGTCAAATAAGACACTGGGATCAGTGATATCCAAGTTCTGGTCGGTATCTACACTGGCCTCCAGGCCCTGCACGCCTCCGAATACCACAAGCAGATGTCTGCGGCAAACATTAAAGCAAATTTATTTGGGGAGCCGTGATCTTTCCGTCATTACACTGAAGAAAGCTGGAAAGCTCAGCCCCATGCACACACACACACACAAATGTTCAGAATATTCCGATGAATTTCTGCTGAAGCCATAGCACAAAATATACTGAAACGACTTACTTGAATGGTGATAGCGTCAAATGGTCAACATTGCTGCCTCTCTCAGACGTGCCAACTGTCAGATCATAACCATCCTTATGAGGACACTCTGTAAACACGTTACCTGTGAACATATGAGAACAACCAGTTCATAGCCATAAAATCCGTCGGCAATCACAGAAAAGATCTGAAATACAATGGTTCTGTTTGGTATGCAAATCGGGAAGACCATGTCGGGACTCTTCGCTTTGACTAATGAATGTACAGCTGTCATATTCATGTTGTGTGACAGGGCAGCAAGAGGGTTAAACATGAAAGACACAGACGAATAGACTGAAACCTTCCAGTTTATGTTCCTATTGTAGTATTCTTGAAGGGTTTTTCCCCAACACATGCCAGTAAAATATCTGGTAGTCCAAATAGGGAAAATGCTATTTTGAGGCAGGATAAAAAATGCCTAAGCTACAAATCATCCAAAAGACGTGATAACTCACTGAGACAGGATGCCAGGCGCACAGAGTAGCCCCAGTAGAGTCCAGCGTCACTCCGGGGGACGTGGGGGGCCACCACAACCCCCTTGTACACTCTGCTTTCTGCTCAAAGGTAAATAAGGCACACAGACCTACACATTACGCACATAAACAACAGAGACTCAGTTACCCATTCATTCCAAGTCAGTGAGCATTACCTGATCTCTGATTCTTGCTTAAGCATACGGTGACTCTTAAACCGGCCTGTAGCTGCTTGTCAATCTGTGCTTCCTAAGGAAAGAAAAATTAACCTGTAATTTGACACCTTTAGCCAGAAAGACAAACAGCAGCTATTCTTTCTTACATTCACACAAGTTCACCTTTTGACAGTTGCTCCCTGCAGAGTATAATCACCATGTAGTATGGATATCCATAATCACAAAACATTTCATATTGCAGAAATACAGATAATACCTAGATCATGTAAAACCTTGTGTTGTCTTTACTAAGCAGGCACTTACCTTACATAAACAGTCAGATAATTTATATGGATACCAGTTTCACTCCTTTAAGCATTCATTAACTGGTTAATACACTCAGGGAACAGAGGTGAAGTACCCATCTGTGCGTCTGCAGTCACAAGACCAGGTTCCTCACTATCACTCTGACATCAACTTCTCTGCATGAATATCAGTGACTGACGGGAGCTCTAACCTTCCTCATGCCACAGTTGACTAAAGAGCCTTTTCCTGGTTTGCACGGCCTGTCGAGCACGACCCCCTCCCGAAACTCTGCCTCCTCATCCATCCTCATGTGGTGAGGACTGTCCAAAGGATTCAGCAACCCTGGAAAAAAGTCACTCTTCATTAATACAAGATCATAAGCCCAGATAGCTCACAAAGTGTGCGCACAGTTGGCAGCAGTAAAATCATAGTAAACTCACCAGCAAACTGCAGATCCTGATGCTTGGGGAAGAAAGACTTGCGTAGATACCTTAAAAGAAAGACGCTTCTTGAGCATAAAAAGACTGACAATGTAAGATAAGAAGGATTTCATCAATGTGGGCTTACTGTGGACATTCCAGGTACTGCAGAATGCGGGCTAGCTGGACACAAGCATTTCCCTTCTTTCCAACACCCTTAAATTCTCCTGCAACACTCCTGCAAAACATAAACCGTATGTATTGACCTCCATATTGGATACTAACACTGACAATGGATAAATAAATTCAAGTAATGCGTGAGCATAGATTCCACCGGAGACCGTACACTCACTTTGGATCTTCTCCACATTCATCAAATATGACGACTTCATCGATACAAAACACTGTGC